AGATCTTCAGGAGCACTTGATAATTACAGTGTGTTGTTGGATAACAAGATGGGGCACCCCTGAGGTGCCTTAATGCACAAAATAGCCATTATTTTTCTACTTACTAGATCACACTTCTCTAAAGGCCTCTGAAGGGAGATGTCACATTTCTGTAAATTACAACAGTATGAGGTGAGCATATGAGATGTCCCCCATTAGAACAGGCCATTCATTTCTTCTATTCATTACAAGTCTGTATAGGCCTATGAAGTGGAATAATGTCATGCATCATAAAGTATTAGTGTTTAATGTTCAGTACCGTTGTGCTGAAGAGTAGAGCTAGTGTTTGGCTACATGGGTTATGTTTGTGTATTTTGCTCCACTCAGTGAGCAATTGCTGTATTGCAGTGACAATAACTTCCAATTTGCTATGCAAGCTAGAGAATGTTTTAAATGTACAATAACAACCAAGAGTCCAAATTACTCTTTTTCTACTTTTTCTGAGCAATTAGTTGTGTAATATATTGACAAATGTTTGGAATACTTTCCTTTAGTGTGTCATAGCTGTTAAATACAAACCTTTTACTCAACACACAGCATGACGTCTGCCGATTGAGCAGATTCTATAGGTGTTTTTACAGAAATAAGGTTTTTAAGATGGAGTAAAGTCAAATTATCTCAAAAACGCTTCAATAAAATGGTTTAATATTAAGTATGCATATAGTATTGAATGTCCCCTACAAGAATTGACCATTCAATTTGTTTTATTATTATTACTTATTAAAATCAAGGTCTCTATGGGCTTCTGGAGTGAAGTAATGGCATATTTCTCAGGAATGCTGCAGTAATTAAGTAACCTTACATATTAACCAAGTGTGTAGAGGTGTTGGAGGTCCTAGATATGAGATAATCATCTTATTTCTACGCATTGTAACTTCTTACATATAATTATTACATTTTGCTTGGCAAAATGATTCACTGTTTAGGAGGGAGCGTGGTGGGAAAAACGGTGTAAATGCAACCAAAACAACCATGCATTTTAAAAAAATTGCTCACGCTTTATTAAATGCAATTAACAAATCATCTAATACCATTAAATATGAAGTGTCTGCATAATAGTTTTATCAAATTGTAGGGCTTGTTTTATAGAGAGCTTGATTAATCAGGCCAATAAGCAGTGTTGGGCAGTAGCTAGTAGTGTAACTAATTACTAATAAGATTTCAGTAATAATATTAGTTACCATCCATAAAACAGCTTTTGATGCCTCAACCCCGCTGATTTGAAATCCAACAATCCAATAATAATTGGATTCTAATTGCTAGAATTATTTTCATAATTTTCACGACTCGCACAGGCACATGAAGCCACCAGTGCATCAGGAAAGCTTGAAATATGAAAAAGCTTATATCAGAGGATGGAAATATGCATGTATACACATGACTTTGAATTAATACAACACTTTTACTTAAAAGTCACTATCAGTCACTATTGAGTGTTTGTCAAAACTTCTGACTGCGATCCAATGTAGATTTTGGTCAAATGTTGAGGCAGAAATATATTGTTAGTAATATTTTATAAGATTTTTTTATGGGGAAGAAACACAATTACAGCTTCTGTGGGGCGTGAAGGAAAGTAATGTAACTAGTAGTGTAACTAATTACTGTTGCCAGAAAGTAATAACTAAATAAATAATATTACTTTTGAAAGGAGTAACTACTAACGAGTAATAAATTACATTTTTGGAGTAACGAGCACAACACTTCCAATAAGAGACTAAAAACTTCAACATTATTTTAATACCAGTCAAAAGGTTTTGAACAGTAAGATTTTTAATGTCTTTTAAAGAAGTCTCTTCTGCTCACCAAGCCTGCATTTATTTGATCAGAAATACAGCAAAAGCAGTAATGTTGTGAAATATTTGTACTAGTTAAAACAGCTGTTTTCTATTTGAATATATTTTCAAATGTAATTTATTGCTGTGATGTGCAGCTGTATTTTCAGCATCATTACTCCAGTCTTCAGTGTCACATGATCTTCAGAAATCATTCTAATATTCTGATCTGCTGCTCAAGAAACATTTATTATTATTAATATTTAAAACAGTTCAAGTACATTTTTTCAGGATTCTTTGATGAATAGAAAGATGGAAAGCTCAGCATTGATCTGAAATAAAAAGCTTTTGTAGCATTATACACTATACCATTCAAAAGCTTGGAGTCAGTATTTTTTATTTTTTTTTTGGGAAAGAAAATATAGAAATTAATACTTTTATTTAGCAAGTATGCTTTAAATTAATCAAAAGTGATGATAAAGACATATTTCAAAATATTTCTATTTCAGATAAATGCTGTTCTTCTGAACTTTCTATTCATCAAAGAATCCTGATAAAATTCCACTCAGCTGTTTTCAACATAAAAATAATAATAAATGTTTCTTGAGCAGCAGATCAGCATATTAGAATGATTTCTGAAGATCATGTGACACTGAAGACTGGAGTAATGATGCTGAAAATACAGCTGCGCATCACAGAAATAAATTAGTTTAAGCCCCCTTCTTGAATAGCCTATATTAGTCCCATAACTGACTGCTTAAAGAATGTAATGTACTCTCTGTACACCTACTACAAAAATGTGCATTAAAAAAAGAGGATGAACCCACAAAATAATTGTCCTAGACATAAGTCCACTTATCCTCATGGCCGCGGGAACTAGGGGTGCTGAGGGTGTTTTACTGCACTGCAATTTAAGATGACACGGCTTGAATTTTTTTCTACGTTTTTAATTTTCCACAACTTGAATGTGGTTTGTGACTTCTGGATCACAGATGGAGTGCTGGGACTGGGAGCGGGAAATTTCTGCCTCCGTATCTTTTTTGTACTCTGCATTAGGGCTGGGTTTTGACCAAGCGGCAACCTCCCGCTCTCTCTCGTGAAGCCAACACGGAAGTGACTTAAACTGTAATTCATCGACTGGCCGCTAGAGGCTGGCTGCAAAAGAGAGTCAGTCCCATAGACTCCTCATGTTAAAATGCCCAACTTTACAGCAGAAAAAGACATGTTTACAGCCTGGTTCAAAAAATGATTTTGGTCTATATAGCTACTTTTGCCCTTCATGACAACTGTGAGGGGGGTGAATTTTTTTATAACTCATCCGTTTAAATTATATTAAGCCTTAAAGTTCTGCATAATTAAGGGCGTGGCCACTTGAGTGACAGGTGGATTGCCGCTGCTTTCATCTCCGTCGAGCTAGGTGGGCGTGGTTTCAGCAACCCGCCTCTTTGCCCATTTTCGATTATCCAGGAGTGACGCGCTGCCAAGATGGCGACGGCTGGCTCCGCCCACTTTGAGCTTCAAAATCGCTATTCGGAAATCTACGTGTGACGTCACGGACACTACGTCCATGTTTTTATACAGTCTATGGTTTTGACACAAATTTCACAATTCGATTCGATTATCCTTCACAAGCTTTCGATTCGATTTAATATCGATTATTTGGGATATATATCATGTACAGGACATGGCAAATTTTCTCAAGAAAAGATAAATCTCTCAACTAATGCTGTAAATATACCTGAGAGTCAATCATATGGAAGGTTGAAATTTGCTGATTTGTAAACAAACACTTAAATATACTAAAAGTTTTTGTAATATTAAAGTTATAATACTAACTTTAACTTTAAATCACATAATTATATTTCTACTCCAATTCGTGTTTTGAAATATAAACATTTAAATGGTGGTTGTCACTAAAACTTCAAACATAAATTAAATATTGAAGAACAGTAAAACAAATTATAATTAATGTTATTTGGTGCATATATTTAGCAAAATGCTCCTCTAGAGTACATTTTTCTAGCCGACTAATGAGTTTATGCTCACCGAATATGTTTTTCTGTGGTAAATGTGATGTTACGTGACGTTGTTTACAAGCTATTGTCGTCTTTCCACATTTGAAACACTGATCGAGTCATTTTCTGACAGGCTAGACTCGATTAAAATCTAGAAATCGATATTTTTTTTACTCAGCCCTACTCTGCATGCTTTTCAGGGTGTCTTGATTTTAAATGATAAATTAAACTGATCATGCTGTACATTTTTGCAGATGTACCCCTTCTAGACAGTTCAGCAGAACAGTGTCTGCAAACGGACGTTGTGCGTCTTTCTCGGACACTTTAAAATGTTTCCATGTTTTCTGCATTTGAAGCATGCTACGCTGGTTGCTATTTGATCGTGTAACCAAAAACGTCATTGTTCGGTAAAATTTATTCAGTCTTTTCACTTATTCGGCCGAACACCAAAAGTGTTTTTGTTTTTTGCTATTTTCAGCCAAATAATTTCGGTTGCATTCGGTGCATCCCTAATTTCTGTATTTTTAAACCAGCGGAGCAACTGATGTTCATGTGTATCATCAGCAGACTCTACTACAATACAGAAATGGAAAGTGATCGGCTAAAAACAAACTCTAGCTGGTCAATCATGTGAATCTCCAATCAGTACTTCCTAAATCTTCGGTGACCAGCTATATATATATATATAAGTGCATCAATGACGTCACAGACTCCTACACGCACCAATTACAGGGCTCCAGACTACGACCAAATGGTGGCATTTTACGACCATTTTAACTTAATGTGCATCCACATTAAATTAATCAACCCCTGAACATAAACTTAAAAACTTTGCACATTTGCACACTCACGAAAAAAAATACTAATGTGCCTTGTCTCCATTTCTGTGACGTTTTTATGTAAGATATTACTGTTTATGCACTTCAGTGTAGTCTGTGTATAAATGTTCAATCCTATTTTAGTTTTTAGCTGTTATTCAACTCTTTTAGTTCTCGTTTAGTTTTTGTAGTCTAGTGTTGCGTAGCAGCATGGTTCTGGAGGAGCACTGTTTTGATTCAGCTGTATAGAGCTAAAGTGATAATAAAGCCACTCTGACTGGTCTTCATGACTCGTCTGGCTTGCTTGGAACAGGAGTTTGTTCAGTAGTGGTTCACAGGCATTGTGAGGCGTGCTGTAACGGGCCAAATCTTGTTCACTTTCACTCTTTAAATAGACTGACGGTAGACACAAAGTCCAATTAAGTTTGTGTGCAGTTTCTTCTCATGTGCTGTAAAGAAGTGCTGGATAATAGTAAAACAGTGTCTGTGTTTCTGCTTACTTCAGGTGAGATCTGAGGATCATATAACCACCCTGTTTTCTTTCTTTTTTTTATTAGGTGCATGCATTTTTTTTCTGCTGTTTGACCTGCCTGGTGAGTATGTGTAACATAGAAAATTTTTTTTTAAAAATAGATTTGGTGACATTAATACGATTAATAAATACCACATTTGTATCAATACTGTATAGTGATTCAACGCTGTGTTTATTTGTAGGTGCTTCTTCTCTAACTGTGACGGGACAAAAGGGCGTCAATATTACCCTGCCGTGTAATTCAAGCAAAAATGATTTATCCACTGTTCTGACATTTGGGTCCAAAACTGCTTATGGTAACCGTCAGGATGAACACTTCAGGGGCCGCATGCACAAGAGTGGCAACTGTGACCTCGTTCTACAACACTTAAAGACCACTGATGCTGGCAAATACAATTTAAAAGTTTATGCCAACGGTCAACTACTAGACAGCTACAGTTACGACCTCTGTGTTGATGGTAAGGTCAAAACTGGTTTAAATATTGATTTGGGCTTTTTGTTGCTTTTATTTGGTACCAGTGTTTATTTCATATTACGTGTCATACCACTCATCATCAGTATTATGAAAGCGTCATGTCACAATTATGCTGTCGTTGTATTTCTCTTCAGTTCATTTAACAGCACGGGTAGGCGAAGAGGTAAAGTTTGACTATCTGCCGCGTGATGCTGGGAGCGTCAAGCATTTTACAAACACAGGCTTGATAGATGTGTGGAGAAGAGAGCAGGGTTTCCTGACTGATCGACTGGCCGACAAGAATGACCACCTGACCATTAAAAACTTCACATCAAGTGACGCTGGAACACAGAGTCCTGAACAAAACTGGAGGAATCCTGGTGACTGTGACGGTCACAACAGGTGAGAGAAAATTGATGGATGTTTAGAAATATTAATTATAAAGTGGACAGGTGAGGTTCAATTATCATGATTTGAACAGCAAAATGAATACTAACCTGTGTTATTAACCTTTTAATATCCTGTACAGAATCAGGCACAGCATCAAAGGACAAACAGGACCGCACACGTGATGACAAAACTGATGGCACTGAACGAGTTCGTAAGTAAAACAGGAGGCATTGAGAGCTTTACGAAATCTTTAAGCAGCGAGTTTAAAAAATAAATAAATAAATAAATTGTGCTCTCTTCCCACTTTCCCCTTCCAGATGTTTGTATTGGGGTGCTGGTGCATGACTGGGTGTAAACCATATTTTCTACTGATTGAGAGGAAATACTGCAGTATATTGACTTAGAATGCCCTATTTTACTGTCATGAGTGAATATTGTAGAAAAATTCCACTCTAAATAGTGACGAAACACAACCCATTAATGCATGTTAACCAGGAGTCACTCTCATTTATAATCGCGACATCGTCTGATAAAATCAACATGCATGTACAGTAGATGCATGTTGAGCAAACACCGGTATTTGGTATGAACCGGTATACCGCCCAGCACTATGTTCAACCAATATTACCTGTTATAATGTTTTTTTTTGTTTTTTTATGATATGTGGTATGCAACTGCGACCGCACGTTCTGGACTTGCCAAATGTCTTGTCTATCTATGTACGACATGATTGTTTATTTGCTTTTGTCATTGTGCAGCGTCCTTGATATGGAGGACCAAACCTGCAGAAATAATAAATAAATAAAGAAAGAAATAACAGGAAAATAAAGAAATAAACGACTCGATAAAAACAAATATAGTTCATTTGTAATAAAATTTAATCCTGAATTTATTTTTGACCTTTTTCCTATATGTATTATTTTCTGTGTTTATTTTTACATTTATTTTTATTCTTTAAGTTTTATGTACTTTTCTTATTTATTTTATTGATTTATTTACTTATTTATGTATTTTAAATGTATTTATTCATGCGTTTATTTATTTTTTTATATTTATTTATTCCAACATGTATTAATTTCCAGATTTATTTATTAATTTATTTATTTTTACTTTTCGTGTGCAGCATGGAAATGAGGGAGGCGGTCCTTGCGGAGCTCCGGTGAATCATTGGTTGAGAGAGCTCACGCAGAAGCGTCAGATCAAACTAACGATCGGAGTTTGTTTGATCAACTGTGGAGTTGCAAGATATTTTCACAGATTCACATTATTATGTCGAATTACACAGAGAAAATCGTGACTCCCAAAAGCATTGTGAGCCTAAATGCAGTCCTAAACCAGTTGCACCAAAGGACCTAGTTAGACCTACGGTCTACTCGGGCTCACAATGCTTTTTGGAATCGCGGCCCACTGGCAGTTGACGTTCATTTATTTTTATATTTATTTATGTATTTATTTATTTTAAGTGTATTTATTCATGCGTTTATTTATTTTTTTATATTTATTTATTCCCACATGTATTTATTTCCAGATTAATTAATTTATTTTTACTTTTCCGTGTGCAGCATGGAAATGAGGGAGGCGGTCCTTGCGGAGCTCCGGTGAATCATTGGTTGAGAGAGCTCACGCAGAAGCGTCAGATCAAACTAGAAATCGGAGTTTGTGGGATCAACTGCAGAGTTGCAAGATATTTTCACAGATTCACATTATTATGTCGAATTACACAGAGAAAATCGTGACTCCCAAAAGCATTGTGAGCCTAAATGCAATCCTAAACCAGTTGCACCAAAGGACCTAGTTAGACCTAAATACTCAGGCTCACAATGCTTTTTGGAATCGCGGCCAAAAAGCATTGACGTCTATATTCGCAAGTTTAGGGACCATCTCTAAAGTTAAATACGACATTGGTATACATGATTGTAACTTCAATAGCATTTGAAGAGAATGACTTACAGTCACAAAACCAACTGTAAAGTGTTCATCTACGAATCAGGTATATTTAGCAATATTTAGATATAATTTGACAGTTTATTTTAACAAAACATCACAAATCTAACGTATGTCGTATGTAACTTTATAGACGGTCCCTACACTTGCAAATATCGAAAGTCCAACGTCAAGCCAACTTTATGGCAGTGGGCCGCGATTCCAAACCTTTGATGCAACTGTTTTACGATCAACTTAATGCTTTTGGGAGTCTTTTCTCTGTAATTACAAAAT